AGCTTTGTTTTGGTCTCCACCAGCTTCTGTTTTTTGAAATTCACATTTGATAGTCTGGTCTGACTCCACCAATTAGTGAGATCATTTCTGCTTCAGGAATAATAGGAATATCTTCCAAAAAAAATCATCAAAGTTAAAATCACGTGAGTCTGGGAGCATCAACCAGACTGGTGGGGGGGGGGGAAGATGGCAGATTAACAAACCAGTGAACAGTCTGGATAGCGTGTGCCTGGAGGCAGCTTCTGCAGAGAGATGAGGACAGAACTGAAGTGTGCGGTAGCGATCACATCTCACTGAAGTCTCTCTGTCTCAGGCCCCACGCTGCAGGTGCTTTGTCATGTCGGCAGCCGTCGCACTGTAAAGTACATACTGTCCAAACAGCCAATCAGCTCGTGCGCCTCGACTTTAATGGTCTGGAACCATTTTGTTTATTTTTCTGCAGATGTGACACCTGTACAATCAAATATATTCACAATATAGTGATAATGACGTTATAACACACATTATCACCTTTTTCTGTTGGCTTCATTTAGCGCCTATAGCTCTAGAGAAATAGATGTGTAATATATATTCCCATTGATGCATCTATGGTTGATTATACACTATTTAGAAATGTATTTTATTATTACAATGCATACCTTCATGTCTTAACACTTTATTTCAACCCACTATGTATAGATTGATGTTCTTTCTGTTATTTGTAGTTTTAGTTATTTTATTGCTCGTGCATCTGATATTTCTCTGATAATTTGTCACTATTACAAATACGCAGATTTTTTTAAATTAAAATCTATAATTTCAAAATGCATGTCAAATGTGTTTATCACAATTATCAGATATTTTGCTCAGTATCCTAAATGTAATCTGCTTTTTACATCTAAACTTAAAATGTTCCAGCGACTTACTCTTGGTTGTGTGTGAATAATGTTTAATTTGTCTTTATTTCTGTGCGTCCTTTTCTCTTTTTGTTGCAACAATGACGGAGCGTCTTCACAGGTATTATCATAGTTTCATCTCATCATATATGATCACACTCTGTGGCTTCTTGGCCGGCACATTTTTCTCTCTTATTGTTTTTTTAAGCGCTCCCTCTCTGGCTATATTACTGCCGGACTCCACAACAGGCAGGCGGTGAGTCCAGGGCGGGCAAATCTTCATAAATCCTTCCACAATGGCTACCCTCTTCAGACTCCACTGTACAATATCTGTCTTCATCTAAGAGTGCCCAGGCCCAGCCACCTGCTTTTCCTCTGTTCACCCCCTCCCCTCCCTGCTTTGTGAACTTAATAAAAGCTGCCATTAAGCAGTGCTTCATCTGTTTGGGCCCTAATCTGCCTTATAGGCGGTCATGTGACCACATATGCAGCGCACACCTGTCGTGTGTGTTCCCAGCCCCCGACTGTCGCCTCTCCACACTGCTCACTCTCTCACTCAACCTGTTCCTGGCACATCAACCCACTGCATGTCAGCGATGGGCGGCATGCATGCACACATTGTTGGCACTTCTAATATATATGGCCTGGTGTTGTGTTTTGTGTGAAGGTAGAAAGTGTGCATCTGTTGTCAGACTCATTCTTTGACATTCAAAATGACAGCCACAGTGAAAACAGGCCTAAAGTCGTTCAGTATGTTTTTATTTCACCGAGTGAAAAGCTCAATCTTTGCATAAGACATGCAGAAACAGAAGAAAAACATAAATATAGCACAATGAAGATGAACAGCACTGTATCCAAGTGGAAATAAGCAATACGACAAAAATGAGTAATAGTAGTGCTGAGGGCAACAAATTCAAGTAAAAAATTGCTTCATTGTTTACTTTTCATATAAAATGTCTCATGAGTCTAGCCAAATTGAACGCAAATGGGAGATGGCTTTTAGTCCAAAAGTGCAATATATTTTACAAAGTTTAAAATGTTGTTTCTCCACTACGCTGCAGTAAGCAGGAGGCTTTCGTATTACATTTCTCCCAGCAGTGGAAATTCATCTCAGTTTATTTCTCCACCACTTTTTTATACCATCCTTTTTACTCTGTTAATTAAAACAGTAAAATGATCTGTCGTTTCGGCAGCAGCCTATGCGCGATTTGGAGGTCGTTTCCGTCTGGTTTTTGTGTAATATAATTTTCATGTTTATTCTTTTTTTTCTTCTGGTAGATTATATACAGGATGCCAGCTGGCTGACAGATGGTGATGCCTTTACCCAATTTTTTTCTTTTTTTTTTTTTTATAAAAAAAAAAATACATCACAAGAGAAGAGAAGGAGGAAGGACAGGAACAGCTGTAGACGAAGGGACAGAGAGAACCAGCACATCGGCCACTGGGTGCCATGAGGGAGTAGGAGGAGAACCCAGCACATGGCTCAAGGCAAAAAAAAAAAAGAAATGTGCCCTGTTAACACTGAACAAGACACAGAGAGCCATCTTGTTAGCAGTAGCAGGCCTCCAAATCTCCCTAATGGTCCTCGGCTCTGATCTTGTTCTCACACCAGAATGTCATGAACAACGGGTGACCCCAACAACAAATATTGTTGACTCCTCTACCTGCATGAATGCAGATGTTTGTTTGTTATTTTTTACACTTTTTTTGTTGGTTCCTTCAAATTCTGTGACAGAAAAGTGTCCCAGTTAGATTTAAAGCGGAACAAAGCAGGGAAAAGGCGCACAAGGTCATGAAATATGAATCGAAGCTCTGAGCAGCTGGAGCCACAGGCGTGTGTTCGGTGGCCTGTCTGTCTCTCTCACGGGGGGAGACACACACACACACACACACACACACACACACACACACTCGCTCTTACTTCAGTAGTGTCAGTGACGGATAGAAAAAAGACACAGAGAGATCGCTGTCGTGACCTTTTGCCCCGCTGTCGTCCAGCAGCACCTTTACCCTCCACACAGGACCCACAACGTCCTCAGGCTGAAGCACTATCAATCAATACATGTGTATAGTTATAATAATTATAGTTTCTTTATTTTCAACTTTTTACAAATCCTGCTATTTCACACCCTCCCACACTTACGCATACACACACACACACACACACACTGAATTCAAGTGCACAATGTCTCCCAGCCCCTACAGTTATCTGATGAGAAAAGAAAAACAAACGTTGTGACGCCGCTGCTTTGCAGCAGAGTCCCGGGAGACCGTTCAGTCTGTGAACGAGGCATGCCCACAGCAAAGTAAATATAAACCAAGAATTTCAATTAATGAGGAAAAGAAGAAAAAAAAAAAGAAAAAAAGCACACACACACATAGATAAATGACAGTGAATAAAATGAGTCGTTAAATAAAACAGAAACATAGATGAATGAATTCAAATCAGTGTATTTTAGTTTGAGCTTCTGACATAGTTTGGAAAAAGAAAAAAAAAATCCTGCAAACATAACGGAATCTTCCAATACTACAGTATGAACAACCTTTTCCAAAATATCTGGGCCAATTAAAAAAAGGTCACGCACACAAGCAAACTATGATGAGGCTATTTGAATTTTTTTACTTTTTATTATTCATTTCTCCTCTTAACGGTTTTCTTTTTAAAGGAAGCTGTTCACGAAAGAGCATTTTGTTCATATATAGTTATTTTTTTACAGAGGAAAATACTGTACAACCTTTTTTTTTTCTTCTCAAAACATTATCTGGAGGAATATCATCTACACACATTATTATTCCCTATATTATGATCGTTTATTTCCAATGCCAAGCTCAGGAGATTATTCATGATCAGTGTGTCAAACATATTCGTTCAATATAAACCAGCGGGTGTCTTTGACCGATTTATAATTTAGCACTACAGTGAGCATTGCCATGAACTTCTTAAGAATTCATTTAAAATCACAGTCTGTATTAGTGTTTCTCATCAGGGCGCTGTCTTTCTGGTGCACCCATTTCCTTTTTATTTTTCTTCAAACTGTCGAATCACGGAAGCAAAATAAAAACCCAGTCTTTAAATAAATCACAGAACAACAGTTCTTTGTCACACTAACATCTATCTGTGCATTAAAGCAAAAGTGAACTAAAAACAACATCTTTAAAGCAAAATTCCCTGTTAAAAGATATTTATCATATTTTTTTTTTCAGACGGTAAAAATGAACCTAAAAAGTGCAATAACACCCTAGAAAATTCTCATTGGAAGGTCACATAAATATTAAATAAAAACCGTTACAACAGGAGCAAAACCACAGCCATAGTGAATGGAAACAAAATGCCATTGAGACATTTTCGGTCTGTAAATTTTCAAACATAAAACACACTCTCTGACGTCCCCCACCGATCTCTGCATCTGAGTGACTCATCGTTTCCTCTGGTCTGTCTGAACCCCCCCCCCCCCCAAACACATCCTGACTCTCCGGCCGTTAATCACAACCTCGCCTGCTTACAGATCGATATGCTTCTGACTAACAACACAACAAAAACGACATAATAACGCAAAGATGCAAATGGTAACAAAAATATTTTTAAATATGCTCATGAGTTATCTATCATCATCGTAATCATCGTGGTCAGCTAATATAAAAGTGCACTATTCACACACAAGCTTGATTCCTCTGCAGGGGGGTTAGATTACAAGGGCTGAGCTTGGTTTTGGTGCTAGTTGAACATTTCTAGCAGAATGTCAGAGAACTGTTGAGCTTGCTGGAGGCCCGACTGCCGAGACTGACCAAATATTTACTGGTCAATTCCACATGTCATTGAGAACAAAGAAAAACATCTGAGAGAGATGGGAACAAGCAAAATGTAACTCCCTTTTCCCTCAGAGTCTCATAATAATAATAATAATAATAATAATACAGGAAAAAAGATCAAATGTTTGAATGTATCCTGTTTCCCCTTAGTGATCCACCCTTTTTCTATGTATCCCCGGCCCTGCAGTTCATGTCGCCTGTACCAGCAATTTCCTTTTGTATATCGTCGTTCACACGCACACACGCACACACACGCACACACACACTTACATATATAGTTATATAGAGAGATTTGTTTTTGTTTTTCTGACTTTTTTTTTTTTTTTATCCACACACAAAAAAGTGAAAAAAATTAAAATAAATTAAAGTCAAACATGCACGCACACAAAAAGACTGATGTGTAGTAAAATGCTTTACATTGCTGCCCTGTGTGTAAACCAGGGCCTAATTCTGTGTCTCCGTTCATATTTTTCTTTTTTTAATGCATAATTGAATTAATAATGTTGGTCATCTTGTAAACATCATAATAAATCATTTTGGGCCGTCATTTTTCTCCACGTTGTTGTTTTCTGTTGTTGTCTGAAGTCTCTCTACATGATAAATGAGGCCGCTTTCATTCTTGTTTGTTCATAGTACACAGAGTATTTCTTCAGTCCCTACAGTCACTGGTAGTTTTTCTTTCATTTCTTTTCCAGTTGGGAAGTATCAGTGTGGTTATCAGAAGCATCAAAACTCTCGCCATTGTCCTTTTCACCATCAGGCTCCGGCATCGAATCGTCATTCGAGTCACTGTTGAGCTCTGCCTCATCCTCCTCCTCCTCGTCCTCCTCGTCCTCCTCCTCCTCCTCTGCGTGCGCCTCCTCCTCTGGCGACAGGTCATCCTCGGCCTCTCCGGACGTTCCTGTGGTGTCGTCCTGAGCTGCCGGCAGACCCAGCAGCGGTTCCGGGTTGTTGTGGCTGGACCGCACCACTTCGTGCATTTTCTTGCTGAGGTCCAGTGAGTCGCTGAGACCCAGACCGGCGGCGTTCTTCAGGAAGAACAGGGAGCTGCTGGTGTCGGTGCCCAGGTTGAGGGAGCCGTCCAGGCTGATGGAGGACGGTGGGTACAGGCGGTTATACTCTGACCCGATGCTACCTGTTGGATAGATCATGGAGGGAGCGCTGCTGTTAATGCTGCGGGACAAACAGTGGACGCCACTGGGGGAAGAAGAAGAAAGACCCATGGAGATCAGAGGGACCGCAGACAGGCTTCCTCCCAGGTGGTGCACCCCTTCCTGTTTGGGCGACACAGACGGCAGCTCGCCACGCTCCTGCTTCTCGTGCTTTCTCTTGTGGGAGTCCATCTGGGACATGCCCACCACCGTGTGCTTACACTCGGGGAAGGTGCAGTGGAAGTGCGAGCACTTGAGCTTATATTTGCAGTCGGGAACCTCACAATCGACACTGGAGCTGAACTGGCAGAAGCCAGCGGCGGTGATCACGTCTTGCTTGCCGTGGTGCTTGCGGTGGGCCGTCACCTTGGTGCTGTCGGTGCAGCGGAAGCCGCAGCGCAGACAGTGGAAGTGGGTGCTGTTGCCTGAAAACTGGCAGTCAGGGAAGCTGCAGCTGAGTGAGGATTTGAAGCGCTTGAAGTCATCCAGGACCAGGTTGTCCACGCGGTCGTGGTGCTGCGCATGCTTGTACATGTGGGTGCGGCCGCAGAACTTGTAGCCACAGTTCTCCCGTGTACAGTGGTAGTGGGTCACTTTCAGAGAAAACTGGCAGCCCGGGTCCTTGCAGTTCTCGTAGAGGTCATAGCGCCTGAAGCCCTCCAGCATCATCCCCTCATCCAGCATCTTACGTGACGACGGGGTCTTGCGGCGCTTGCCGAATGGTGACATGTCCTCGATGATCCAAAAGCGCTTCTTTGCACCGGTGGCCGTGGGAATGGAGATGGTGTTGCCTGAAACAAGGAAGGAAGCACATTAAACTATAATCACTCGGTTCACAAAGTAAACTACAAGCAAATTACATCGCGAGACCGTCCTGGTTGAAACTCTAATGTGCGACCTTACTCAGCCAGAAGTGGTTCACAGCTGAGTAAGCACAGAGAGCCACAATTTGTTTTATTCCTAATTCCCAGAATGATTAAAGGAGGGGGGAAGTGACAGATTGACTTTGGAACATGACACTTTTACAGGGTGTCTCCAGCCTCCAAACAGAGGCGGAGCTGTGGGTCTTAACCGACCCTCTTATCTCCATGTTGTTTTATGAGGGGCACCCACCTTTTGCTACACCCTAATAATGGGATCCCTGTTCTGCAAGACAGGAAGCAGTGGGCCTCGATAAAACTTGAGGCGTGATTAAAATAAGAGGCTGGTAATGCAGCCTGGTTAATGGGAGCTAAACAAGGTCCCGGCTTCTTACTACAGGTGCCAAAGGTACTGCTCTGTCTCATAATCCTAGTAAAACTGGGAGTAAAAACACACACAGAGGTGTAGGTGAGGTAATTATACACATTTGTTACTATACCCTCAGTAAGCATGCACATTTCTTCATTCATTTTCTTTTTTTTTTGCATGCTGGAAAGCCTTTTTTTTATTTCCCCGTCTTTCCCCAACAATACTGCAGAGAAAGACTGGATCACACAGTTAAATACTGCTCAGGACTCAATTGAGAGTGACAGCTGCAGTGTTGGTTTGCGCCGGGGATAAGTACCTGCAGCATCCTGCACTATAGGGACGTCATTTCTAACCGGAGACGGAGTGGCAATGATGGGGCTGAAAGCTGGTGTGTTGGTTGGCATGACAACACTCCGAGTGGCTCCCAGAGAGGCGCTGAGCAGAGAGTATGACAGACAGGATGGAGAGAGGAGGTATGGGAGTGAGGACAGAGGAGGTCGGAGGAGAGCGGGAGAGAGGGATGGGACCTGGGACTGGAGGCCAGGCTGAGGAGCGAAGTGAGGAAGAGGTGGTGGTGGTGGAGGAGGCGGGGAAGAAGGAGATGCATTTTGGGTTGCGCTAGTGTCAGCAGGGGTGGTAGGAGCAGAAGTGGTGGCGAACCAGCCTTGTCCTGGAGAGACAGGTTGACCAGAGAGGGTGAAGGACAGACAAGAGGGGAAGAAACACACAGACGGGTACACACACAAACAAGGACCAAATCCCACACACAAACACACACACACACACACACACACACACACACACACACACAGAGGGATGGGAGGTAAAAAGGGAAAGATAAAAGATAAGAGAATGATACAAAATGAGGCCCATTCAAGACAAGTAGCCCACCAGCCAAAACAACAATGGTGCGAGTAGTGGATAATATTGCTCACACATGGAGGCTCAGATTTAGAAAAAAAAGCAGAGAATTCCTATATTCAGACAGTTTGAGGGGAAAGGAGACTGTTTCTCCTTTTCCTTTCCTTTCTCCCACAATTCAAACTACTAAAAGTGCTAAAGTAGACATAAAGCCACAGGGATGATCTCGGGCCAAAGGAAAATGTAATAAGCTACATACAGTGCAATAACTCAAACCACTGAGGTACAAAATGGAAGTTTTATGAGGATGACCAGGCAAACTGCAAAAGACCTTGTCCGTGACTCGGAACATAAGAATACTGCATTGTCATCAACCTCATATATTATGATTTATGTGTCATTATGTTATTGATTGTAAATCAAACTACGAAATCAAAAAAATACATGATTGAAGAATGAAATGACAAGTCGCTGGTTTTCCGGGTAAGGTAGACGAATGTGGACTTGAAGCATGACGCATGATGCTGAATGTAAGATTATAAAACTTGAATTCCCGACAGGTATTTGTTGTTGTTGCATGTCCTCACCTGCTGGAGAACCATCGCCTACAGGTGTGCTGGAGCAGCTCCGGTCCTGGTTGGAGGACTCGGAGGAGAGGCCCAAGGGGCTGCCCCCTCCTCCCATGTAGTCCATGTAATCATCAGTCTCGTCCATCATGGCGGACGAGAAGTTGGAGTTCATACCAGGATGGGTCCCCATCATGCCAGATCCATCTGGCCTCTGGCCCAGCGGCATCACCTGGAAAACAAATAATCTTTGTTGTAAGTGATGTGCGTGCAGGGCAGGCAGCGCCTCACCTAAGCTACAAATAAAGGTTGAGACTTAAACTAGAACTATTTCCTGTTCAAATCCATGATGGGAACTCCTAACTCAACGCTGCCAACGTTTACGTATATTTGCGCATGCATAGTCGGATCTCACACTGTTGAATCAGAGATGCGACGATGAGGAAGATAGCCGCCCCCCCCCTTGCATCATGTCACGTGACACCCACTCCCTCTCTCTCGGCTCGGCGCCACGCGTTGCCCTTCGCGGCACCAGTAGCGGCTGGCGCGGATAGCTTAAGGGCCGCGATCAGCCTGGAAATCAGCTGTGGCCGCTAAAGGTAAACAAACACCCGGATCTTACCGAGCGGAAGAAACTAAACAGTACACAGACTTTTCAAACAGAATGAGTGGCTAATGTTATGTGGCTGCCACCAGATAAGCAAGCTTTCTTGTTTTTGTTGTCCATGCCTACTCTTCTCCTCCAGCACCGACAGCGTGTGAATAAATGGGGGGGGGGGGGCACTGTGACCTGAACCATCAACCAAGATCTCTGCTGAAGCATGAACACTTCACGGCCGTGTCCACTTTCAGATCGCCTTGAAACACCTCCAGCATGAGTGGCATTGGCACTGTATGACGTCATGCGCAATGCAAAGTTAAAGAAAAAACAGGAGATATTAATTAAGAAAGCCTCATGGTCGTGACCTGTTAACCTGCCAAGCAAGAGCCAGCCTTTCGGGGAAACAACTTCTACAACAACACTGACATCTTCGTGCAGAGGGATGGGTGCATTGCCTTCATCTACAAATACAGTGAGTACCTTACAGTTGTACCGAAAACCATATCATCCTGAAACTCCATTCATAACATGAACAGTTCAATTCTTATTATTAATAAACTACGGCAACATTGAGTGCAGTAGTCCACACACACACACACACACACACACACACACACACACACACACACATACATACAGCGCGTGAAGCAGTGTTTCAGTCCACTGTCCAAAAGTTAAAATTCATTGAAAAAAACCCCAGCTATAATCATTTTCAAAATGTTTTAACCCAACGAAATATTCTGCTTCAATCCATATTTGTTGGCATAGACTTTCATATAAACAGATACATTTGTTCACCCTTTTAAGAGCTTTGTGTATGCTGTCTGATGTTAGGCTACTGTGCACTGACGCCAATATTTCTCTCTATAGTTTTTCCTTATCCTTGTGTGCTGTAGCCAGACGCTCCTTGTGTGTAGTTGTCAGTGCGCTTTTTTGCTCAATTTGTTGGAGTGATTAAGCTGTTTTCTGTTGGTGCGCTGACACCATGATTTCGCTCTCTTTTTTTCCATATCCTGGCGGCCAGATTTTCGTTGTGTGTGTGTGTGTGTGTGTGGTTGAGCTTTTGCACATTTAACAAGAGTGAATAAGTTGTTTTCTACTGGTGCGCTGACACCAAGCGAGCATTCTCTCTCTCTGTGGGCGTTTATTGTGTTGCATGTCTGCCTAACTAGACGTTATTTTGGACTATATTATCCTTGCGCAATGTGGACATATCCATATGCTACACTGATAAGCTGCTGCGTACGCCTGGCATAGATTTCACCGCACTTTATCTGAAACAAACATCATGGGAGGTAGCGTGTCATTAATGCAGGTGTTGGCTTTTGGCATACAACCAAGCATTTCTCAAGGCAACAAAAGTTTTCTGAAAGAATGAACGTCACGCATTATATAAAGGTTCAACATGAAAAAAGAACAAGAAAATCCACATGTTTAACTCCAGTTACGGTACAGCATGTACCCGCAGAGGTTAAACTAGGAAAAGGAGTATACTCCACAGTGAAAAATGTCACATCAAAAGAATGTCATGAGTGATTTGTAACCGACTGGTATGATGCTGCTCTCTGTTTTGCTCCGAATGAACTTGTTCAGTTTTCAGAATCTGACTCATAATAAACACCAAAACCAATCAAACTAGCTACATACGTCTTGTAGACTTTGGACACCAACTAATTATTGTTGAGCTGAAACATTAAAAACCTCAAACTGATTAAAGAAGAAAATCACATTTAAAAAATGTTCACGGTGAAAATCAGTTATAGCTTTTTGTTTAGCAGCTTATTTGCATATTCCTTTTCACTTCTTGCAACAGAAACAACTATGGTATGCTTTAGTCAGAGGGCGGGTGAGGTGCTTGGCTTTTTGTTTCAATAAACCCGCTCAACGTCTGTTTAAGTTCACTGAGGTGTTCAGCGTGTATTTTCAGCCAATTACACTTTTCGATTACTTTGCGAACGTACCTGGGATGGGACTCGGTCGAAGTTCTTCCCGAGCATCCGCCTCATGTGTTTGCGTGCATGTGAGGTCATCTGGTGCTTGAGCAGGAAGGAGAACTGGCAAGCCTCGCGGATGCAGTGGAAGTGGCTGTTGACTTGGTTATACTTACAACCTGAAGAGAGAAGACCAGTAACAGTTCTTAAACTGCTCCATTTGCAGATGGATTCATCTCTGGCTCATCGTGAGGCGTCTGAGAACAGCATCTGCGCTAAATGCAATATTATCAGTGCGGCGGTGTTATGATTAGATCAAACGCAAAGTGAAATATTTTGAGTTTTTTATTTTTTTTTTAATTTCATGATATAGCTCCGACAAAAGAGGGATCGGTTCCAAAGTGTTTGGGAGTGTACATGTAGGAGGAATATTAGATCACTCCGGTGTCACACTGAGCAAGTCAAGGCTTCTGTGCACTAAACCTGTGGAGCTCTTTTATTACACTGACATGCTTTATTCAATTAGGAATTTACATAAATAAATTCTCATTTTCTGTGGGGCAATAATGCACACACCCCTGCAAACCAAAGTAAATATACAATTATTACCATATTAAATTCATTTTTCAAAGTATCTCCATTGTCATTTTTCCTTTTGTCCTCCGTCGTGCTGTGGCGTGCTTCATATTCTTCTGTTCTTTTCTAGTGTTTTAACCGGTGTAGCTCTAATTGCTTTATGATTTCAAATTAAATGAATGTTCCGTTTTGTGCCTGTTAATCAAATACCATTATATAAAAGCAGGCAGAAATAATTGAAAGAGTAACATGCTGGGCATGTGCTAGCATGCCAGTAACCATGGCACCCAGTTTTAAGAGCACAACACATCTGTGTCATCAAATAGCTTTGGCACACACCGTGTTTGAAACACGCAAAGTTGTGCAAATAACAGTAGCCCCCGTGACTCGGAGGGCCTTTTGTGAGACGGAAACCAGGTAACATCATCAGCGGTGTTCGGTTTAATGTCGCTGCCATGGATACTGGCATCCCATCAATTCTTTATGACAGGCGTGCTAGCGATGGTAATCCTCTCTGTGTTTCCCACAGCCCACACAATACCGTTGGCAGATCAGGCTGGGGACAAAAAACAGCTGTTTAGGGCCTGTATTTGTGTGCTTTGTCTCTGCGTTCTGAAAAGCTTGTGTAACCGCCTGAAAAAAACAGATCACTTTTAATTCATTTCTGTGTGACGGCAGCGGTGGCTGTGAGGCGCAGCTTCAGAACACAAACAGCCTAAACCAGACAAGCCGGATAATTAACAAACACAAACCTAATTGCTCATTTCTGACAGGGGCAAAAGGAAGAAGAAAACAACCTGGATGTGATTGCACCCCCCCCCCA